AGTCAACTGTATTGTGATCTCACATTTTCATTAAAATTTTTTGTTTAAATCCCTAACCTTACCATCTCTTTCTCATTTTAACTTTTCTCTAGATTCCCATCACAGCTACGGGTGCAGGAATTCACACAGAATGCAATAATTCATAAAGCGCGCACTAGAAATATGCATACTTCTATGTACATGCATGTGAAACCTTGATAGTGAAATAAGAATAATTAAACAGTCAAACGCATGACCCACTTTGTTACTGGAATATGGGAAAAAAAGAAAGAGAAAGCATTTAATCTCTGTGAACAAAGCCTTCCTCCAATTATTCAAAAACCCCAAAGGACTAGTTAATAAATTCAAGTCGTCACTGTGGCTGGAGGGGGCCATTCTTTCCCATCTCTATGATTAAACTGCCACATGTACAAAAGTTGTGGTTCAAGGAACAAAACGATTGTGTGTAGCCTTTTCTCTGACATGCAAAGAGTGATTTATTTATTATTTATATTAATCTGGAGCATTTATACTCCGTCAACTGACTATGGTTCTTGGGGGCAATTGGCAATACATTTTTTTAAACACAGTAAAATTGTCAAGAATGGTTAAGGAATAGAAAAGATACACACAAGTCCAGCAGTAAATGAATTTACAGCAGTAAATCTGGGTCTTGTCCCATGCACAGTAGAACTATTTAAAGAAATGGAACTTGTTAATCAACTCATGTAGTTAGTTGACTAGATGGGCAGGGTATAAATGCAATAAAATAAATAAATAAATATGCACCCCTTTGATTTCAATAGATGTACTCAGGGTGGGAATAAAAGCAGATTTAACCCAGTATGTTTTCAAAGAATTAGCATTATACATTACGGTCTAATCAAAATGTTGTGTCAGTGTTGTATTGTGGCCACCATTACGACACTCTGAGCACTTTTTTTGAACGGAAAGGAAGATTTGAAATAAAATAAATATTTGTTTAAAAAAAGAAAAATCTTTTCTTTTTTAAAAAAATATAACATTTAGAAAATTAACAAATAAAGGCTTCGTTCGAAGAGGTTCTCTGCCTGAATTCCTGTTCTCAAAACTGGACAATTAGCTTCTTTGGATCACCCCACCATCCGCCCCAAACCCAAATGAAGCCAGTCGAAAAAGGGGATTGCAACAAGCAAGATCTGAATCCGTACCATGTCACAGTGTAACTCCAGATTGAGGTCGCCTTTGTTGGTATGCAGCCGGATTAAAAAAAAAGAAACAAAAATGGTTCACGAATCAACAGCTCCCTAGAAAGCTCTTTCAGCCCAAATTATGTTTTCTTTGTATTTCAAGTCTGCTCACCTTGATGCCACTTCTTCGATTTTAATTGTTTTACATTTTCTTTTATTGGTTACTTATTTTTGTTTCTTTTCTTTATTTTGCTCCCTTGCTAACTATAACAAAGAAAGGACAACTAAACAGGAAATCGTCCCATCTCCACATCCCCAAACCACAGGGGCATCTTGCCTTGGCTGCTAAGTGGGATTTGTAGCTTACGAAAAGTGTGGACAGTAGATTTGGGTCCTGTTGGGCCCCATAGATTTACAGTACTGAGTCCAGAACACTGGGGTGGTCTTGCAGTAAATCTGTAAAAATTTCAGATTCTCCTCTGCTTAACAACAAGAAGTCTCTTTCAGACTACTGAATCAGGCTACTGAAATTAAGAAAACTAGGACTCGGTCTGGGGTTGGCAGACCGGCAGTGGATTTTTATGTGAAAACACACTCTTCGTATTGTAAGCAAATTCTTGCTCTGAGGCTTGGGGCCCATGGTCACCCTGTTCCTTCATTCTATCATGTGTGTGCCAGCCTTGATACTGGCTGGTGAGACTCGTGAAAGATGAAAGAGGGTCATGAATTCAACTATGGAAAATTAGGGTTCATAATGGAGAGCCTATTTGATGTCAGAAACCACTTCTCAGCATATATGTCCTCTTCCATGTCGGGAAAACGATAAGAAAGATGGAAGGGCTTAAGTGTTCCCTCTTAAGTGTGCTGGAGAGAATAGCAATGCCTGGACTTCTTTCCAATATGATGTGGAGGTGATTTGGGGTTCTAAGACCACACCAGTGGACTCTTAAGCTCTCATAGGCTTTATCATGTTCATAGGGCTGTACATATGGTCCCTGCAGCAGATTGCTTGTTGTCATCTGAGCGCACACAAGGGCTAAGGAGGCCTGTTACCAGAAACATGGTCAGCAAGCGATGAACTGGCTACAGCTCCTATGAACTAAGAACGGAAAGAGTTCCCTCTGGGAGAAATTTTAAAGCACTGTGAAATTCCTTGTTTCAAATCGAGAGCAAGACAACGGCTGTCTCTTCTCATTTGTGTCAAATACCTCCATTGAGTTTCCCTTTCAGAAGCAAAGCATGTACACACCAAGCTCAGAGGGAAAGGATGACTTTGAAGAAAGACTCAAACAACCCACCCAGTGCTTCAAATTCTTAAAGAAGGCAAGCAGTGATTCTAGTTACAAGTGATTATGCACAAAACCAGCAAGTTCTGCACAGAGTAAGGTTCCTGCCATCGTAAGAATTCTACCAAGAGTGGCAGGAAATTTCGTAGATATCTCACCAGGCAGGGGATGAATGCTGCCGTTCCTCCGCCCATGCACGGGAAAGACAAGAGATGATTTGCATTCTCTATTCTGATCACAACCACAATTCAAATCTAGATTGGTGGAAGCACTACTGCTGAAATCTGGGGTCTTCGATTATTGAGGCATGTCTACCTTTCTGGACTGCCTTACCCCCTAACCCCTTCTATGCTCCATTCCCACTGCTCTGAAACAACAGCCTTCAACAAAATCTAACTTCTTGATCTGCAAAGGAAAAAAAAAATTCACAAGTACATGTCAGGTGCCACTGTGTAGGCAAAAGGTTACTTAAAAACTGATCGGATTTCAACACCCCTGAATTAAAAAGGGACAGGAGCAGATGGTGGAAGTCCCACATCTCAGGAGCATTGGGACTCCACAGCCAACTGCACTCTCCAGATTGCGCAGAGGCTTCTTCGAGGGTCAACGGCAGTAAGGTATGACTAATGGGCATCCTGCTGGAAAAGGCACCCGAGACACAAGAGCCTCAAAAACTCGCAAAGATAGAAACAACTTTGGCCGGAGAAAAAAAGCGCACGGAACAGAAGCCATTGTGACACACAGCGACATCAATGATTCAAAACAGTCTGCTCGTTTTGGGAATGCTCCAGAGAACGGTTGCCCTGGTGTCCTAAGGTTTTTTCATCGTCTCAGCTGTCTCAGCTTTACTCAACAAAGAGGGGAAAAAATAGGTCAGCGTTAAACACTCAATTAAAGCTCCCGAGAACCACCCCAGCACAGTGTGATGCTGAAACGTTTACATCATCCTTCTGCCTTCCTTGCCAACTCATCGTGCATCGAGCCCATGCCACGCACACCACCTGTTGCATCTGGGAGATGCGCTGAAATGCTTTCAGGATGACTCCTCTGCTCCAGCAGGACTCTCTGAGCCCAGGGAGATCTCCTAGTGAGCCACGCCAATGATCCTTGGGCCACCAAAATCACAGAGTGGAATAGGAGTAACAAATACCCTCAGACCTTGCTGGGCAGTTCCCGTCCTTTATCACATCATCTGTGATGATCAGGGCTAGGAAAAGATGCAGTCCAGTAGCATCTAGGCAGTTCCAGGTTCCCGCACCTCAGAATAGAACCTCCTCCTATTGCAGTTTTAAAAATTACTTTTTTGGACAACAGCTTCCAGAATCATTTATTTGGCACAGTCACAGACTGGATACTGGAAGTCACTTTCTAGAAAAGTAACTTCTCCAAACTGATTGAGTCAACTGTATTGTGATCTCACATTTTCATTAAAATTTTTTGTTTAAATCCCTAACCTTACCATCTCTTTCTCATTTTAACTTTTCTCTAGATTCCCATCACAGCTACGGGTGCAGGAATTCACACAGAATGCAATAATTCATAAAGCGCGCACTAGAAATATGCATACTTCTATGTACATGCATGTGAAACCTTGATAGTGAAATAAGAATAATTAAACAGTCAAACGCATGACCCACTTTGTTACTGGAATATGGGAAAAAAAGAAAGAGAAAGCATTTAATCTCTGTGAACAAAGCCTTCCTCCAATTATTCAAAAACCCCAAAGGACTAGTTAATAAATTCAAGTCGTCACTGTGGCTGGAGGGGGCCATTCTTTCCCATCTCTATGATTAAACTGCCACATGTACAAAAGTTGTGGTTCAAGGAACAAAACGATTGTGTGTAGCCTTTTCTCTGACATGCAAAGAGTGATTTATTTATTATTTATATTAATCTGGAGCATTTATACTCCGTCAACTGACTATGGTTCTTGGGGGCAATTGGCAATACATTTTTTTAAACACAGTAAAATTGTCAAGAATGGTTAAGGAATAGAAAAGATACACACAAGTCCAGCAGTAAATGAATTTACAGCAGTAAATCTGGGTCTTGTCCCATGCACAGTAGAACTATTTAAAGAAATGGAACTTGTTAATCAACTCATGTAGTTAGTTGACTAGATGGGCAGGGTATAAATGCAATAAAATAAATAAATAAATATGCACCCCTTTGATTTCAATAGATGTACTCAGGGTGGGAATAAAAGCAGATTTAACCCAGTATGTTTTCAAAGAATTAGCATTATACATTACGGTCTAATCAAAATGTTGTGTCAGTGTTGTATTGTGGCCACCATTACGACACTCTGAGCACTTTTTTTGAACGGAAAGGAAGATTTGAAATAAAATAAATATTTGTTTAAAAAAAGAAAAATCTTTTCTTTTTTAAAAAAATATAACATTTAGAAAATTAACAAATAAAGGCTTCGTTCGAAGAGGTTCTCTGCCTGAATTCCTGTTCTCAAAACTGGACAATTAGCTTCTTTGGATCACCCCACCATCCGCCCCAAACCCAAATGAAGCCAGTCGAAAAAGGGGATTGCAACAAGCAAGATCTGAATCCGTACCATGTCACAGTGTAACTCCAGATTGAGGTCGCCTTTGTTGGTATGCAGCCGGATGTAGCCTTTCTTTTTCACATACTGATATCGCACCACATCGTCATCAATAGCAGCTAATGTATGCAAGCAAAGGATAAAATTAGCACTAATTATATCTGTCTCTGTCATCTGCGAACATGCCATGAGCTGAAACTCTATTAATAGAGTTGACACCTTCTCCTTCTCATGTACATAAGAATCATCATGCGGGATGAGACCAACACCTCTCTAAGTCAAGTGTTTGGGACCCACAACGAACGAGCAGATGTCCATGGGAGGCCCACGAGGTTTCGCAGCGCTCTCTTGCTATTGTTTCCCAGCAACGGGTGCACAGAAAGAAATTGGCTCTAATAAAGAAGGAAACCTGCGGTGAATCAGAAAGCGGGTCTGTCGGGGTGGGGGTGGGGTTGAGAACCTCTAAAGCTCAGATGCTTCAGACAACCATGTCAACCATCTATAACCCTAAGACTGGCCTCAATGGAAACATCTCTGAAACATCCACATTTTAAAGACTTAACACATTTATTACAGTGTATGGCTCTGTAGGTTGCAAACTGCTCCAGTCCATGAAAATGGGATAATTTTACATATACAGTGGTGCCTCGCATAATGAGCGCGCCGTTGAACGATGAATCCGCATTGCGATGCAGATTTCCCCATCGCTAATGCGAGGGCATGCTCGCATTACGATGGGGGAACAGCTGTTTGGCGGTTCCAAAATGGCCACCGGACACCCAAAATGGCCGCCGAAACACCCAAAATGGCCGCCGGGACACCCAAAATGGCCACCGGGACACCCAAAATGGCCGCTGGGATACCCAAAATGGCCACTGGAACATGGGAAAACATCGGAGAACAGTTGAGTTTTGGGCCCATTTGGAATGCATTAAACGAAGTTTAATGCGTTCCAATGGGTTTCCCCATTCCGCTTAACGATGTTTTCCCATAGTGCTATGCGGGGCACCACTGTACTGCTCTGGAATTGCCACTGGGGATGAAGCAGTAGGGAAATTTTTAAAAAGTAAACTAGTATTTAACTCTCTAAAGGAAACAGAAGACGTAAGGACAGGAGAAAAGCCCAGACTGAGGTCCCCTTTGCCAAATCAAAGATGACGCCCATTAAGACTAGCGTTTCCTTCCCAGAGTGGGCAAGCTGGATGTGGCGGCTAGAATACCCTCTTGCTCGCGCTTTGTGTCTCCAATCTGTACATTTCTAATTAGTATTGTACTAAGGTCCAGTTCTGAGAGCTAATGGCAATCTACTGTACAATACGCGAGGCAGCCCTATGTGCCAGTACATACCTGCTTCGTGTGTTGTTTCCGGTGCCATGGCAGTGGATGTGAAGGAGGCACTCACTCTGCCTGTGGAATAGTGAGCCTGTGGAACAACAGGGCAATGGATTTAGTAGAATTATCTCACCGTAAGGATTTCAAGAGACAGACTCTCCAACAGTAGAACAAGATACAGACGCTCCAAAATGGATTCGTCAGTTTGTTTACTCAATTGTTTTACTTTACTGTATTTCTTGTTGATACTGTTATATTATAATAGTTGTGTTGATTTGATTGTTTACCACCCAGAATGTTGCCTTGCACTAATCAGGCAGTATAAAAGTTCAATAAATAAATAAACAAACAAACAATCACAAACAACCAGGAAAAGCTCCCAACCAATCCAAGACAAGTAGAGAGAAACCAACTTTGATTATTTGGGATGCTTCCCTGCTTATAGATATATTTTTAAATATTTTCAGACCACGGATAAGTGAAACCTCAGATACTGATTCTGTGGATATAGGGAACCTACTGTATATATATATATACACACACCTCATCTTATTTCAAAAGATCGTGGTAGGGTACAGAAATAAAAGGAGTCATTCCAATCCTCTATTAAAATTTTTGAAGAGTTTATACCACTCAATGGATGCTCGTTCAAATCAAGCTTGACCAAGTAGACCAGGTTAGAACGCCAAATCTAGGCAAGGCAGGATTTTTAGGCCCTAAAGCAGGGCTTCTCAACCTGGGGTCCCCAAATGTTCTTGGACTAAAAGTCCCAGAAGCCTCCACCAATGGCTGTGCTGGCCAGGATTTCTCGGAGTTGCAGTCCAAGAACATCTGGGGACTCAAGGTTGAGAACCCCTGCCCTAAAGCATTTAGCAAAGAGCCATGTTTTAACTTGATACTGAAACGAGCAGCGTTGGCCCAAGTCCCCATGGCAGAAAGGACATTTCCTGTGTCTTTACCTTAACGTACTGTGACAAAAAACGGGGGGGGGGGGGTCATGCTGGAAATGTGTTATCTCTCCTTTACACTGAATATTTCTCTCCTCCCTCCAAACTCTCTTTCAGAAACACGCCGTGTCCATCTTATTCAACTTACTGCATTCAACTTATCCACTTTCTTCTTCTCCGGGCCCCTCATGGTTGATGCCAGGAGTTCATCCCCTTTGAATTCTTTATAAAGTTCGGACAGCGTTTCTCGGGTCTCGGTGTTTGCATTCTTCAGGTAGTAGGACGGGTCTGATCTGGCTTTCTCCTCATCTGCAAAACATTAATTTTAGGAAACATCCTCTCAGGATCCACACGATTCTCATGGTTCCCTATCTCACTGGTTCGCTGTTAAAATGGAAGATAGTACCCTTCCTCCTTCAATGCCACTAATGCAGGAAGTAAGGCGTTGGGGGGGGGGGGAACATGGACTGCCGGGAAACAAATGAGGAGGGTTGATAGCAAAGTGGCAAACTATGGCTCTGTTCAGACATCAGGCTAAACTGGAATTTAACGAGATGTGATTGAATTCAGCTTCTTCCTGGGCTTGTATGCTCCCCACTTATCTTTCCTCTTCTTGGATGCCTCAGATGAGTAGTTCAAAAGCATCCTCTTCTGCTGTTGGCTAACTGTGGTTTGTTGGGCCTTGATTAACTGTGGTTTGTTGGGCCTGGACAGTTTATCTGCACCAACAAAATACAACTAACATTTCAGTTCCACAAGCCAGCTTTAAATCCAAGTTCCCAAAGTTGAGCTGTTTTATCCTAAAAAACGGTTAAACCTAACTACAGTTCCTAGTCTACATGACACGGCAAACTGGCTGATCAAAAGCAGAAATGAAAACTTGTGGATTCCTCCTCTGAATGGTGCAGGAGGGGAAGGGGGCAGAGCAGAAAGACACTGGGCAAGGCGAGGCTTCCATCCCGATATCTAGAAGGATATCCAAGCACGCCAAACTTTCCCATTTTCCCCCTATGCATTTCCATTCTAAATAGAAATAAAGAACGCTGAATCCCATTAAAAACTGTCTTTGTATTTCATGTTAAGGACGTTAGACGTTTCTGATAGCAGTTTTACAAAACAAATAACACAACACAATAGCTATGGATGAATGAATACAGCAGCACCATACTTTAAAAGCAGACATTCGTGTAGCGTAATATCAACCATTAAATAAAATTCATAAGGTCAAGGTCAAGGTTCTCTTTGACAATTGTCCAGTCATGTCTGACTCTAGGGTGCGGTGCTCATCCCCGTCTCCAAGCCATAGAGCCAGCGTTTGTCCGTAGACAGTTTCCGCAGTCACGTGGCCAACGTGACTAGACACGGAATGCCGTTACCTTCCAACCGAGGTGGTACTTATTTATGGACTTGCATTTACATGCTTTCGAACTGCTAGGTGAGCAGCAGCTAGGACAAGTGATAGGAGCTCACTCTGCTGCATGGATTCGATCTTATGATGGCTGGTCTTCTGACCTTGCAGCACAGAGGCTTCTGCGGTTTAACCGGCAGCGCCACCACGTCCCTAATAAAATTCATAATTATTGTCAAATGCCTTCCCATTTTCAACTGTCAGAGGGAGGGGTATAATTTAAGTATCTCATAACACTCTGCAGTGACATGGAGGTTATCTTTAGAGGTGAATTTCATTGTATGGGTATACTGTGAATAAAATTCATAATTATTGTCAAATGCCTTCCCATTTTCAACTGTCAAGATGGAGGGGTGTAATTTAAGTATCTCATAACACTCTGCAGAGACACAGAGGTTATCTTTAGAGGTACTTCTCCTGGTGCCCCTGCCAAGTGTGGCAAAACCACCTTTTCAGTGATGGTGCTTGTATGATGGAATGACGGGTACCCTCCTTATATATTCCCTGGTGCCATTTTCCAACTCTTTTCCTCCCAAGAATGTGTGCCCTCCTTAACCCACCCAATTTTAACTCGATTGTGTCCTTTTAGCGATGCAACACTTCACCAGTTCTACTCTTTGCTGCTTCACATTTTTAAACTGTTTTACTGGCTGTTGATGGTATTTTAGTGTTTTATTACTGGAAGTTGCCACAGGCATGCTGCTACTGTGTGTGTGTGGGGGGGGGCATTGTGGAAAAAAAATGAAATAATCGAATAATCAGAAAGGCACTCCTGTTGTTGATCAGAAAGCCAGGTAGAAGAAGAGCGGGTGCCCCAGAGCAGAAGGGCTCAATCTTTGGCCCTCCAAATATTCTGGATTTCAGCAGCTAGGATTCCTGACCACTAGCCATGCTGGCTGGGGAACCTCTAGAGGCTGAAGTCCGAAAGAAAAGACTGGAATCCCCCACAATCGTGTATGGGATGTGAATGGCCCTCCCAAGCTAGGAGCCTGCCTTGCTGTTGATGACGGCTTTGCTTGGTTTCCCCAAGCCCATTCATGTTTTCCTTTACACCACCCTTTGGCCTCCCTGGTGTCACTCTTACCTGGATCCGTCACTTTTAAGTTGTTCTTCACGTGGAAAAAGCTGGACACATTAAATTTGTCCAAGTGGGTTGGATCCTTTAAAAAAAAAGGGGGGGGAGAAACAATGACTAAATATCTGTTTTGTAAGCTATGTCTATGCAAAGATGATGATGTCACCAGCAAAGGAGTATTTTCTTTTCCATGGTCTGTGTGACTCACAAATGACTCAATCCATTATGTGGAAGCTGTGGGAATCACAGGGTGGAAGAGGGCACTCTCAAGTTACCAAAAATCTCCCCTTGCAGGTGATGTCATCACCCTTCTGCAAGAGCAACGTACACAATGGGATTCTGGCCGCAGAGCACAGCAGCAGACATTCTGAAATGCAACCCTAGCCTGCTACTATTTCAGACATATTTCTCTCTCCAGTTTTTCCCAATGATTATTTGCATGAAAGCTTATCTTCATTCCAGCACATTCTACTTGAGCGTGACACAACTTGAAGAACTGGGGCTCCAAAATGATTTCATAAAGGCTGCTGAGGGGGGGGAGAGGCTAGTACACTGGAGTAGGAAGGAGGTACAATGGCCCGAAGTCCCGATGTAACACTGAAAGAACTGTCTAATATGCTGATATGCATGCAAATTGTATAACTCAAGATGAATACAGCATTGTGTCTTCAGATAAGAAACCCTCCAATATTCCATCACCACCAAGTCAGTAGAGAGAGCCAATTGCTCTGTCTCTCATTAAATGACATAATTATGTCTTTCATTCAGCCCTGAAATTGTTTGCTTTCACTGGTGAATAAATCTTCAGTTTTATGGCTGGCAGTAAAACCAAGAGACATTTACAAAGTCAAGCAGTGTGAGCCTGCATCTAAATAACAAACCACCCGCTTCCTTTCTCTCTATTTATAAGCTGTTTTCACTAGTTTTTTCCTTTGTTTCTCCTCTCCTATATGAATCTGCAGGCAGCCTTTCCCACCAGGAGAAACAAATCATTTCCTATGGGGTTTGGTACGCAAAGATGATTCCTCTCACAATCCCTTTCAAATACGTGCATTATGGATTCCACAGGATTCAGAAAAGAGGTGCTGCAGATGCCAGATTTCAAGACAGTGGGCCTAATCTAAAATGGCATCCTTTCTACTTCCGGGACCAGTATCCCCGGATACTGGGGCTTATCTGTTCATGTATTTTTATCCATCATAAAGCACGACATTTTTATATGATGCATTCTAGTGCTTTTAGAATTATTATATTTTAATACTTCCTTTTATTGCTAATGAAAACTCACATACATTTAGCAATAAGAAAAATAATAATAAAAAACAATGCTTGGAATAAAAATTCAATGAAAGCACTGAAAGAGTTTGGCTGGACCAAAAAGAGAGAGAATACTTGGACAGCAAAAGAATAAACTTTCCCCATGAGAAAACTAAGCCCAGTGACCAATTCAACAGCTGCCTTGAAAAACCTAGTCTAGAGAGAGATGGGCAGACTGTACTCCAGCTCTGAAGTACAGTGGTGCCTCGCTAGACGATGATAGTCCATTCCACTGAAAACGCTGTTTAGCGAAATCATCGTCTACCGAAAAGCATTTCCCCATTGGAATGCATTGAAACCTGTTTAATACATTCCAATGAGGAAGAATCGTCATTGTGTAGCGAAGATCGGCTATAGGAAATCCGCTTTGCGAACCACCGATCAGCTGTTTAAATAGCTGTCTTGCGAAGCTTAGGTCCCAAAAACACCCGTTTTGCAAGCACGGAGGGAGTTGTCAAAATCGTTGTCTAGCGAAAATTAGTTTGTGAAGCAGGGACCAAACATTGTCCAGTGAAATTCCCCCATTGGAATCGCTGTTCTACGAATCGCTATAGCGATCGCAAAAAAGTCAATGTCTAGCGAAAAAACTGTCATGCAGGGTTACTATCTAGCGAGGCACCACTGTACAGTGAATATCTGTGAGTAGAAATTATCAGCCTCTAAATCAGAGGGAAGAGAACCAGTATGGTGTAATGTGTAGAGTGATGGACCAGGGATCAGGAGACTGTGGTAAGTCATGGGTCTGGGGGTGGCCAAACCACTCCTTAAATGTCTCACATTCCTTGAAAAAAACTCATTAGGGTTAGATGCAACTTCATGGCAAACACACAACAGGGTGGATTGGATTTAAATTGCAATTGATTTAAATTACAATTTAAATTTAAAAATGGATTTTTGAAGATTTAAATTTTTAAAAAATAGATTTTTTTTAAAAAAATTAAATCATGATTTAAATCAATCTGATTTTGAAAAAGTCATTGGCTTTTATCCACCCTGTAATCAAACCAGATGGAAGTGACGTCCTGTGATTAGTTGTTATCTTTATTCCTTTTGGTGGAAGAGGTAGCTTTTATTTTGGGTAACATTAACAGGAGCCATCCCCTCCCACCCCTGACAGCTGGTTAGAGTGTAGGTATTGAGAGATGATTTCCTTTACTTTTAAGGTCTGCAAGAAAGCCGGTTCATGCTGTAAACGGAACAAAAACTTGTGTATGCATCAGCTCTGGGAGACTGAGCTGCATTCCCCACCCCTCCCACCCAAACATCCATGTCCGCTGGTAATTAAGATTGGAATGGAGAGCCAGCGTGGTATGGCAGTTAAAAGAGTTCTTGATTCGGATGTGTGAGACTTCATTTGAGCTGTGGAACTCACTGGCCGACTTCGAGCCAATCATTCACTCTCTCCCCCTGATCTCCTTTGCAAGGTTGTTAAAAGGAAAAAAGAAGGTGGGGAAGCCTATGTACATTGTCTAAAGCTTACTGAAAGGTGGGATATAAACGTAATACAGTGGTGCCTCGCAAGACGAATGCCTCGCCGGACGGAAAACTCACAAGACGATGGAGTTGATGACTCGCAAAATGGCTTTTTCTATGGCCGTGCTTCATTTTTTTTTTCTCTCTTCGCAAGACCGATGCCTCGCAAGGCGAAAATACGGCTTTTTCTATGGCCGTGCTTCGTTTTTTTTCTCTCTTCGCAAGACCAATGCCTCGCAAGGCGAAAATAATTCATTTGTCCTGCGAGGTTTCCCATAGGAATGCATTGCAATGCATTCCTATGGGAAACCGCTTTTTGCAAGATGAAAATTTTGCAAGACGGTGCTACTCGCGGAACAAATTACTTTCATCTTGCGAGGCACCACTGGATATAATTATTAACTTGACTTGAGGAAAGCTTTTGACAAAGTGCCCTATTGATTGGCAGGCGAACTAGGTGTGGGCTGGATAGCACAACTGACAGGTGGATACACAGATGGTTAAAGGATCGTACTCAGAGAATGTTTATCAGTAGCTCCTTCTCAAACTCAAACTGGGAGGAGGTAACAGGTGGGGCACCACGAGGCTGAATCCCAAGCCTAGTGCTCTTCAATCTTTTTATTAATGACTTGGATGAGTGGGTGCAGGGAATGCTTATTAAATTTGCAGGCGACATAAAAACTGGGTGGAATAGCTAATACCCAGAAAACAGAAATAACATTCAAAAATATATTGAAAGGCTCAAGCATTGGGCTGAAAGCAACAGAATGTTATTTAAAAGGGATACGCGCCAAGTTCTATACCTAGGAAAAAGGAAACCAGATGCACAGTTACAAGACAGGAAATATTTGGCTCAGTAATCCTACAAGGAAAAATAACTGTAGACCACAAGCTGGATATGAACCAACAATGATATTTGGCTCAGTAATCCTACAAGGAAGAATAACTGCAGATAGACCACAAGCTGGATATGAACCAACAATGCAATGTGACTGCAAAAAAAGAGGCAAATGCAATTTTAGGCTGTATTAACAGAAGTCTAATGTCTAAATCTCACAAAGTACTAGTCTATTTGGCACTGGTTAGCCCTCATCTTGAGTACTGCATCCACCCCCTCTATTTGGCACTGCTTAGGCCTCCAAGTTCTGGACACCACACTTTGAGAAGGAAGCTGGCAAACTGCATCCAAGTTTTGGACGCCACACTTTGAGAAGGAAGCTGGCAAACTGGAGCAGGTACAGAGGAGAGCAACACAAGGATAATCAGGGGGGCTGGAAACCAACTCTATGGGGAAAGACTGAAAGAAATGGGCATGTTTAGCCTTGAGAAAAGAAGATGGAGGGGTGATAGGATACCATTCTTCAAATACTTGAAAGACTGCCATACAGAAGAGGGGCAGGATCTGTTCCCAATTATCCCAGAGTGCAGGATACATAATTATGGGCTCAAGTTCCAGGAAGCCAGATTTCGGTTGGAAAGGCTGCCTAACTCTTACAGCCCTACGACAGTGGAACAAATTACCTTTGAAAGTGGTTAGCGCTCCAATGATGGAGACATTCAAGAGAAAACTAGACAGCCACCTGTCAGATACATTTTGATTTGGGTTCCTGCACTGACCTGATGGCCTTAGAGGCCCCTTCCAACTCCATTATTATGCGATTCTATGAAATAATTTAAAACATCCAGACTAAGTAATATGGCCATGGGACATGCAGATACAAATCAAATGCATCAGTACATCAATGCAAAATTGATTTTTTTTTGCAGGAAGGGAACAGGAAGGACACACCAAGCTTCTTCCTTCCTACCCCACAAAGCTAGGGAAAAGTGTTCATCTCAGTCAAGCAGCTCCATTAAAGGCATCTGAAAAAAGGCGTATGGCTTGAAGTCCTGATTCCTTCCAGCTTTGTAACAAAATAATAATAATAATTTAAAATAACAACACAAAAGATTCGGGCCAGGAGGAAAAAAAATGCCCGGAAAAAGTCCGTAACTTCCTTTCTGTTTGGAATGCATGAAAGGGGAAGCCCTCTCCACAGCAGCCAACAGCAAAAAATCAGCCAGAAAGCTTGCAATTTGTGTGATTTATTAAAGTGGTTCAATAAAGGTATCACCTAACTCTTGCATTTGTGTCATCCTGAACCACACACCCTTTTTTCCTAATTCTAACCAGAAAGGAGTAAAGCCACTGGACTTCCTCTCCAAGGCAGTTAGCTACTCTACTGCCAGTCTGCTCACCCCCTGCATGGCGTCCTAGGTTACTTATGGCGACTAGGAGAGCTGTTAAGCACCAGAGTGTCTAATCTTCAGTCATGTTAGTGAATTACACACACACACCCCACATCAATACACAAGAATAGCCTTCTAAAAAAAGGAGGAGAGGCAGCACTGTGGGAGATTAAAGAGCCTGGGTCTCTCCTTGTAATCCACGCCGTATTAAAAGTGTAGTGTCGATCAGCATTTTCTGTTTCATTCTGCAGAATGTTAAGCCATCGCCTTCATAAATCATGGCATTTGAGTCACTCTACAACTGTGAACAACGCTAAATGTAAAAAGACATTGGAGCTCCCTCCAGCCCCCCAAGAGCAAGCAACACTTTATACAGGGTTTGGTCACTAGTTGGAAGGCCACATCATGAATGTGTGAATAAGTCTAAGCTTGGGAGGTGGGCAGCCGAACCTTTATGCAGCAAGACTTTGGGTTTTGCGTGCCTAGAGAGGCCCCTGGCACAGCATAACAACCATGTCTAGGCTCGAGCAGATCTCCCAGTGGAAAACTTGCCCCCACACGTGAATTTCGTGCCTGAAGACTAGGAAAACATCTGTTGTCCCCCCTATACTGGTTTCTAATGGTGGGAAACTGCTTCTCTGCTCAAAAGCACAGAAGATTTATTATAGAAAAACCAAAACGGGTGGGGATGAAAAATATCTCCTGCGTTCAACCAACTCTTCTCCTGTGCTGCTGCCAACTTTGTCAAGATGATTTACGATTCTTCTGGATACATACTTTTGTTCAAATAAATTTTGGAATGAAGGTGGGGCAAGTCACAAAGCTGATACCCATCCATGCTTCAAAATGAGTCTTACCTGCAGCGTAATAATATCTTGCCTAGTGAAGGGTTCATCCGTTAACAGATCCTTGTAACTTTTTGCTTTGATGTTCAACTGTTCCACTGCCTTGAAGCCAAAATGGAGAAAGAGAAATTTCACATCACCAATCACGTGCCACAAGATTATCTCTCTTTGTCTCACACATGCATGCATACCAGTCCTTCATTTGCCAATGTTATAGGAAAAGAAAAACATTCACTATGGCTCTTTTCTAGGGGGGGTCGAAACACGGGGAAACGGAAGTGCTGACTTCTTAATCACTCCGTGACCGAGTTTTGTATACAGCGGCAGATTAAGGGATCCAAAACTAATGAAACTTCACTGAACGACAGCTGTTAGAAAACCCCGTCAATCCTGCGAAGGTTCAGTGCACAGATTTAGCACAAGGAATGCCATCCTGCTGCTCTCGAGGTCCCAACTAACGGCCAATCCCAAGTCTTTGTATGCTGTGCACATCGGCACGGCAGCAGAATGCGCGGAGCCGTTATGCAGCTCAGCGATTTACATGCAGCCAGGACCGGCAATGCACAAGGTTAACGAGGGGGCTTCAAGTGGCCGCTATGTCCCCAAAACACAAACGAGAGCTTTCTTTAGCTCCCTAAAGCTACTTGGACCCCCGTGATACTCCCAGTGTCAGCTAGGCTACGGACGGGGAAAAATCCTACTCCCTGGCTTCCGAAAAATAAACATACGGAGCACGCAAAACTAGTGTGTTTCCACCTCCACGCATTCCACTTACATGCATGGTTAACACTTGAACACGCTTATGTGTCTGATTTGTTATTTTTCAAAATATTGGCTCTAGCCGGATGTGGCCATGTTTGGCTTCCACGTCAGGTAGCAAACCACGTGGCTGGTCCACGTAGCACTGGCCACAACCCAAAGAGCTTTGCTTTGCAACCCGAAGAGAGGTGCTTGGAGTGGGGAGATTCTCCTTCTAGTGGAAGCCTCATTAGGAGACCTTGCTCCACGGCTTTCTGCCAAAGAACCTTGACCTCAAAATTCAACAGAAAGCTCACCTCATAAGCAAACACATTTCCAGTTGTCTTGATGGCCACCATGTGGGAATTGTTGGTGAAGACCGTGAAGAGCACGGGACAGTGGTATTTTCCTGGGTTGGAGGAACAAAAGCATTCAGAAAATACTTGCAATTATCAAGTGACTGCTATCATATATATATAACCCTTTCTGTAGAACACAGTGCCACATACATCGGGATTTTTTTTTATCCTGCTCTTTGGCCCAAGTGCTCTCAAGGCAGCTAACAAATACAAAGAAGTTCCCCTTCCATTTCTTTCACCATCACAACTAGCTTTGTACAGCTGAGAGAGATGACGGTGGCCAAGGTCTAACGGTGGTAAGTTTTCTGACTGGGTATTAGAACCCATGGTTCCCTAACCTTTACACCACTCTGTTTCACGCAGAACTCTAAGTATCTGTTACTATTTTACATTATTCAAAATACCATCTTACATAACAGATACAAGTTTTAACCAAAAACCTAAGTATCTGTTAAATATTGACATAGTATATACAGTGGAATCTCGACTTACGGTCGGCTCCACTTACGAACATTTCGAGATCCGTACATCTCCAGCCGCAAATCTTCACTTTGACTTGCGGCCGGAGAATTGACCTACGGACCAGAAGAGAGAGGCGGAGAAAGTGCCAAATTCAAACTTGGCGCTTGGCGCAGCTCGGCTCCTAGCAGCGGCGGGGGACCTCCGGATGCCTTCCCCACCGACGCAGGCTTTCCCAGGGTGGACCAGGCCCTGCTGGTGCCCTGCTACAATGAGCAAAGAAACGGCGGAAGGTATGAAAATATTACTGCCAAAATAACGATAGACATATTTATACTTCTACACTAACAACAACAACTGATACTTCAGTTTTGGGTTAAAATTTGTATCTGTTGTATAATATCAATCAATATTTTTATAATTTTGTTTGACCGTGCCTGGTGTTCTTCAACAACGACAACAAAAAATATATCATCAGCTAAATTCTAACTTATGGCAACCCTTTCCAGCATTATCTAGGTACAGAAGACACAGAAGTGATTTACCAGTCTGTCCTTCGCAGGAACTGTCCAGCTGGCCCAAGGCCACCCAGGCTGGCTCTTCTCCCAGAGAAAACGGTGGGGAACTGAATTCCCAACCTCTTGCTAGAAAGCCAGATACCTAAACCACTATCCAGCCAGCTACACATGTTATAGACAGATTTATAAACAACCTTTTCAGAAAGACATACATGCTTTTATTGGCCCATGTTTATTTAAAAAAAAAAAACCTTTGCAGAAAAGAGGAAGCGCTACCTTTTCAATGCCCTAATTCTAGTTTGGTAAAAGAGGAACAGGGAGGCGAAGAGGAATGCCCAGACATGTTTCTGGACTTCAATAGCTTCTCTGTCCATGAATGGGGGTGGGGTGGGCTCAAATGACTACCCTTATTTCAGATAGGCTTTAGATTTCAACTTTAGATCTGCTTCTGACTATATAAGCCATATAAGCCAATGGTCCCGCTTCATTAGGCGCAGCATCCAGTTCATATTTTAATAAAATTTAAACAGAAAGACAGAAAAAAAGAGAGAGAGAAGCCTTCCGAAGAATCAAAGTGCCAACTCACCATCGCTGTTTTTAGCAAAATTCAACTTGATGAGAGATTTCGCATCCAGCTTCTGCAGGGGTTAAACAAACGCAGGGGTTAATCATCATCTCTGGCAGAGATCCCAGAAAGATGCGAAAAAGGCACCAGGGTTCTAAAGGGATTCAGAAGAAGGTTGCTGCACCTTTGAAAACAGTTAACTGCAATTTTAGAGACTGGAGCATGGAGTGAATCCATATACAGTGGTGCCTCGGTAGACGATGATAATCTGTTCCACTGAAATCGCTGTTTAGCGAAATCATTATCTAGCGAAAAGCATTTCCCCATTGGAACGCATTGAAACCTGTTTAATGTGTTCTAGTGGGGAAGAATCGTCGTCTAGCGAAGATCGGCCATCAGAAAGCCGCTTTGCGAACCGCCGATCAGCTGTTTAAATCACTGTCTTGCGAAGCTTAGGTCCCGAAAACACCCATTTTGCGAGCGTGGAGGGAGCTGTCAAAATCGTCATCTAGCGAAAATCCTTTGCATAATTAAATTGTACACTGGCCAGAGAGTACCTTAAGCACTATGGGGCTGTATATAAACAACACACTTTTGCTTTTTGCTTTTACAGAGAGGGCACTTCCAGCAGAGCATCTCAGGACAGAAAACCCTTCTTACCGTATCAATCCCATTTGGGCATCAGCTCAGTTCGGCACCGGATCAAAATGATCTTGTCTTCCCAACTTAATAGCTCTTATGCCTCTAAACACAACACTATGGAGACAAGACAGCCAAACACCTACAAAAGGTGCATCTGTCACTTCCCCTTGCGTTCTGCACCCTTTTTTAGTTAAGTGTTGTGCAGACCTTTGTTTCCGAACCATAGCTATAGTCCAAAAGAAGCATCCTGCACACCTCTACAGTGGTGCCTCGCTTGATGACATTAATTCATTCCAGCGAAATCGCTGTAGAGTGAAATCGTCGTCAAACGAAATAAAAAAACCCACTGAAACGCATTAAAAATCTTTCAATGCGTTCCAATGGGCTAAGTACCTGCTCGTCCAGCGAAGGTCCTCCATACGGCGGCCTGTCTAGCGAAAAAACAGTCCTGAAAACAGCAGGGGGCCATTTTATACAGCCAGTAGCCATTTTGAAATCTGACAATCAGCTGTTTGCTGATCGTCGCAAAACGAAAAATCAGTTCCTGAAGCAGGGAACCGATCAACGTTAAGCGAAATTCCTCCATTTAAACATCGTTTTGTGATTGCAAAAGCGATTGCAAACATTTCAACGTTAAGCGGATTCATCGTAGAGTGGGATAATCGTCCAGCGGGACACGACTGTATTCTCTATAAATTAACATAATCCTGCCATGCACCATGGAGAAGGATTTATATAAGGGCTTCTATTATTCAACAGCATATGAGGATTAAGTATTTAACCTTCATCTGTTCTGCTAACCCTCTCCCGCTTTTAATTTGGTTGCATTCCGTAAACATTCTGACAATGCTGCTTTAATTTTTTTCTTTTCTTTTTTGTTTTCTGCCAAGCCCCAAATATGACCATGTGCTTTCACTGTTTCTCCTGATTTTTTAGGGGCTTCCATTTGTGAATACAGAACACACTCTTCATGGAGTACATTCATTTGAATGTAACAAAGCCTGCAGGTTTTTTTTTCTAAACTTCCAGTTTGCTATAGAACATTTTTTTTTTTTTACAGAAGAAAGCCCTCGCACGAAAGGGAGAACGGAAAACCCCTTGGAGCAAAGACATTCTTATGATGGGCAACCCAGCTGATTGAAAGCGACAATTCAAAAAAAAAAATTCCTGCTGGAAGGTTAGAGAGCAAGCAAGTTATCATTGCAATTAGTCTTATTAATTCACCCCCTGAAATAACCATCATTTGTCTTTTTCGTTCCTGTTGCTTGAACCTGCCTAGAAAAATGAAGACTGATTTGGATCCTGCTCTATCCAGTCCTTGCCGCAGTTCTCAAGGCAGAACTCTGCACAGCCAGCTCATGGCAATTTTCATTTTGAAATGGAGTAAGTTCCTAGGCCTCACCGCACAGTTAGAATTTGGATTATAAATAGATGAAAGAGCGCCATAGGATCTCCTTTCATGGAGCCAAAGACTCAATGAGACCGGAATCTGACTCTGAAACATCTCTCCAAAATCTGCTACATTGGGGTCAAGAGGATGTAAGTCGGTGCTGGAGGAGACTTCTAAGAGAACACTATCACAAATTTAAAAGGCTCTCTCATTACCTTTGTTTTGATATCCATTTACAACCTCAATAAAATGAGACAGAAGATCTCAGACACCCTAACTCCCTCCACACAATCCAGCAGGAAACAATGAAGATTTCCATGGTTAACAGTTTTAGAACAAGCCAAGGTACATAAGCCAAGTTCAAAGCATTAGAGCTGGAATCCTGTTGGGTTTTTAAAATATGCATAGAAGCAAGGCGGCAGAAGTCATGGTGGCCAACGGAGGCTAGTAAGGTACCAATGTATATTAGTTACACAACCAATATCCCATTAATTAGCCTCAATTAGCCATTATGACTTTGTTTCAGCAGGCAGGAAAGAAAAACAAATAGGGTCTTGTCCAGGATGTTTTCTGAATTACAGTCGTGCCTCGCTTTACAATTGCCCCGCATTACGATGAAACCGCATTATGACGATCTTTTCGCAATGGTCTAAATGGGTTTTTTTCGCTTTATGATGATCGGTTCCCTGCTTTGGGAACCGATTCTTCGCAAAATGACGATTTTAAAACAGCTGATCGGTGGTTTCAAAATGGCCGCTGGGTAAACAAAATGGCTCCCTGTTGTTTTCTGGGACGGATTCCTCGCAAGACAGGCAGCAAAAACGGCTGCCCTATAGAGGATCTTCGCTGGATGGTGAGTTTTGACCCCACTGGAACACATTGAAGGGGTTTCAATGCGTTTTAATGATTTTTTTTTTGCTTTACGATTTTTTCGCTTAACGGCGATTTTCCTGGGACAGATTATCGCCATTAAGTGAGACACCACTGTACAAATCCTTTGTATTAAATGCCTATATATGCCCTTTCGGGACGGATTATCGCCATTAAGCGAGGCACCACTGTACAAATTCTTTGTATTAAATGCCTATATATGCCCTTTAGATCATTATGGGGTGGGTGGACAGCTTGTGATTTCCCCACATTTATTCCATCACAACTCTCATGATCTTGGCTAAAGCTGATGGCAGCTGCAGTCTAATAAACTCTTGAGGTCACATCTAGAGATTAAAAAGCCTGGAAAAAAACTTGGGAAAATTGTGTGTGGGGGAAACAGGTATTTTCCCGTGTTTGCTGTTTCCGCCCCCCCCGGAAAATTTAAAAAACAAAAAAGATATACCCTGTTCCCCTAAAATAAGACTTAACCTGAAAATGGGGGGGGACAGGTTTTTTTTTTCCTGTTTGCTGTTTCTCCCCCCCAAAGGAAAATTTGAAAAAAAAGTATTTCTCTGTTTCCCCTAAAATAAGACCTAACCTGAAAATTAAAGGAAACCCCGCCCTCCACCCTTGCGCAGCAACCAGAAGATGACACGACTGCATTTGAATCAATGTAGATGGTGGTACATGAAGAAAAAAAACATCCCCTGAAAATAAGCCCTAAGGCATTTTTTGGAGCAAAAATTAATGTAAGATTCTATTTTCGGGGATACAGTGTAGTGTGTGGAATATGTTCTTTTACAATAAGTAATATGTCCATGACATGGTATTTAAACATGAAGACTTTAATGAAAGACCTCTAAGACTTTATGTTTTTTGAGAAATAGTTTTATCAGCTAGGTTTTGGACTAATTCTAAAGGCATTGTGCAGGTATTAGGATTCTTGTGGCTTATATAAACTTTTGCACTAGTTCTGCGTGTTACATGCAACGTTATATTGGTATTACTATACAAGGCCTTCTTCAGGTCACTTGCCTAGCTAGCCAATGAAGCCGAATTGTTCTGCCTCCCATCTAACTGGGGAAATGAAAGATAAAGTGAAAAGGACATGTCAAAATTGTAAAGCTTAGCAACAAGCTCCAGGAAGCTAGACATCATCAACAGACTGTTCCAAGTCTGGAAACATGATGTAAGACTGTAAAAAGTTCTGCAGTAAACAATGATGATTCAGGCAACCGCTTCTTTACAACAACATTGGTCCATATGGACTGGTGTTACTCCCACACAGCCCTGTGACTTGAAGCCATCTGTAAAAAAAACTGAAGTGCAATTGTTGTGACATAAACCAGAGGTGGGAGGACAACAGGCTTGTGAGATCTATTTGGCCGAAGATCCACCAAGCAGAGGCCAGTGCATGAGATGTACTCTTTGGGAATAAAAGAATTCTGAAACTAGGATAGGCTTTCAGTCAGAGAAGGACTGAAAACTGTTTACAATCCTAGGCTTTTTTCCATTCTGCCACAGAAGGTCATTCTGTTGCTCTTGTTACAGAATGTGAGACAAAAATGGTTGCCAATGCTACTGGAAACATCAACAGATCTGGATCCACCTTCTGCCCATCCCAGTGCAAACATCTGTAATACAGCCAGTGGCAACATTTTATTCATTTCATCCAGTGGTTCCCCTTGACAATTTTTTGTACAGTCGTGTTCGACTCTAGGAGGCGGTGCTCATCCCTGTTTCCAAGCCATAGAGCAGCGTTTGTCCGAAGACAATCTTCCGTGGTCACATGGCCAATGCTGTTACCTTCCCACCGAGGTGGTCCCTATTTATCTACTTGCATTTACATGCTTTCGAAGCGCTAGGTTGGCGGGAGCTGGGACAAGCGACGGGCGCTCACTCTGTTGCGTGGATTCGATCTTACGACTGCTTGGTCTTCTGACCCTGCAGCAAAGGCTTCTGCGGGTTAGCCCACAGCGCCACCACGTCCCTTCCACAGCGCCACCACGTCCCAGTGGTTCCCAGCCTTGGATAATACAGTTGTTCTTGGACTGTAATTTCCAGAAGCCTTCCCCACCAGCTGTGTTGACTGGGGTTTCTAGGATTTGCAGTCCAAGAACATCTGGATTACAAGAACATCGGGGTTTCTAGGATCTGCAGTCCAAGAA